TATTGACAATCCAGGGTCCAGACTATGAAGCAGAGTTGTAGTCTTACACACCTCTCTGCTGCTTCTCCTTTATTACCTACCCCAAACTCCCATTAACATTGTGTCAGCCCCACGGACCAAATTAAAGAAATATAAAAACTCTAGAAAAATAAATCAGGACCAGGACAGGCAGCCATCTGCCTCGACCGGATAGGTTGGTAATAGCTTCATCCAAACTATCGACATGTCTGCTAGATCCTATCCCAACCACACTGTTCAAAGAGGCATTTCCCTTAATTGGTATCCATATTTTGGATATACTTAATTTATCTCTAATAAATGGTTATTTGCCACAGAGCTTTAAGGTTGCTGTAATTAAACTTTTACTTAAGAAACCTGATCTTGATTCTGGAGTTCTGGCCAATTACAGACCTATATCTTATCTCCCATTCACCTCAAAAATTCTTGAGAAATTAGTTGCAAATCAGCTACGTGAACATCTAGAAAGAAATAATCTATATGAGGAGTTTCGGTCACTGTTTAGAGCTCATCATAGCACAGAAACAGCACTGGTTAAAGTTACTAACGATATTCTCATGGTCTCAGACAGTGGACTTGTGTCCATTCTTGTCCTGTTAGATCTCAGTGCTGCGTTTGATACAATTGATCACAATATTTTATTACGTAGACTTGAACTTGATATTGGGATTACAGGAACAGCTCTAAAGTGGTTTGAGTCAAATTTAACTGATAGATTTCAGTTTGTTAATGTTAATAATGAATCTTCTGCTTACACCAGAGTTAGTCATGGAGTTCCTCAGGGTTCAGTGCTTGGAACAGTCCTCTTTACTTTGTATATGCCTCTTTTAGGTAAACTTATTAATCAGCATGGGATAAATTTCCATTGTTACGCTGATGATACTCAGTTATATTTATCCATGAAACCTGATGAGTCCAACCAGTTACTTAAACTACAAGCATGTCTTACAGACATAAAAACATGGATGACTCTTAACTTTCTGCTTCTAAACTCAGATAAGACAGAGGTTATGGTTCTTGGACCCGAACATTTTAGGGATCAACTTTGTAGCTTTTCAGCTCCTCTGGATGGCATTAATCTGGCCTCCAGTTCTAATGTAAAGACCCTTGGTGTTATTTTTGATCAGGACATGTCTTGTAACCCCCACATTAAAACTGTTACCAGGACTGCCTTCTAATAATATATGTTTATGTTAAAAGTATATATTTATGTTTTTGGAGCTTTCTTGTAATATCATTAAAATTAGAAAAATTTTGTCCAAAAATGATGCAGAAAAACTGTATAT